AGTTCTTAAATGATGTAGTGCTTTTATGTTGTAAATTGTTTGTCCTCCCCCCCCACCCTTTGAACTGTGAGCCGCCCTGAGTCCCCCCAGGGAAAAGGGAGGCATACAAATAAAGTGAAACTAAACTAAACTAAACTAAACTAAACTAATCATCTAGAAAAGAAAAAAAGTTTTAAAGTAAAAGACATATCAACTGCTGTATGGCCAACCAGGATGGAATGTCTGTGGGACTTCAGATACTGCTGTGAATCACAACAGCTGTCAGCCCCAATGGGAATATTCAATTTTGCTGCTGCTGCTATCTAACCTTGGCTTCCTGTAATACACTGCAGGCAGAACAAAGATCTGTCATAACTGTGCTTCATGCTTGTCGCCTCCTGCCTGCAAGCAGCTGAATATTTCCCGCTTGATATCAGGCTGAAAGAGATAGATGAGACACGATGAGAGTTTCAGATGCTGATGGACCTCTAGTCAGATAGTTCCTTCTAGACTTTATGCCTTCATTTTTTTTGGAAGCAGAATACAAAATAGTCATCGTTGGAGGACAAGAACAGCTCTAGCCACCGGGTTTTGGACTGGACTGCAAGTCAGTGTGATATCTTTTGTTTTTGAATAGTTGGGAAACCATGGAGAATCTGTCCCGGGACATTCTGCTGGAGTGCCAGATTTGTTTCAATTACTACAACCCACGGAGGAGACCCAAGTTACTGGGCTGTAATCATACTTGTTGCTCTGTTTGCCTTCAGAAGATGAGGACCAGCCAGAGAGATCTGAAGTGTCCATGGTGCCGAAGTATCACTAGACTCCCACCTGGGTACTCTGTCTCCCAGTTGCCTGATGATCCAGAGGTCACTGCCGTGATTGCAATACCCCACATTTCAGAGCATTCTCCAGTCTTCATCAAGCTTCCTAGCAACGAGAGTTACATGTTGCCTTTGCCCACCTCCAATGAGAGCTCTCTATTGCCTGGAGACATTGACTGCCCTCACTTGCCAAGCAGCCAACAGAGGTCTCTCACGACGGTCACAACCCCAGCCGAACAACAACCATTGCAGGCTGGGATACCGCAGGTTACGGGAGAAGAGGAACAAGGCCAGTGGGGCATTGTGAAAAGCTCCACCTGTTCAGTGGTTTTCGCTGTCATCCTGGTGGCCTGTGTCATAGTTTATCTTCAAGGTATTGTCCTCCACAACATTTCATGTATCTCCAAATGTTTCACTGTCATCTCCTGCAGCTGAAAGAAAGCTGAAGCAAGCTCCTCTTGTGAGCTAGCTTTAGGGGTTTGGGGGGAGGGGGTATTGATGGTGGCGGGAAACCAGGAGGTGAAATGCTGTCACATGGACTGAATCGTTGATGCCAAGCAAGCTGATTGACAGTCCAGAGTCTGCTTTAAAAAGTAGGACAGCAAGGCCCGCTAATAGAATGCGAGGCATATCCAGTGTTTCTTTATCTGGTGACAATATCAAAGAAGACTGCATGCATACACTGCAATGCATGCTTAACAAATGATCTATAATCTATAATGATTTCATCGTGTTATGAGATTTAATGTCTATTTAGCTGGTTCTACTATACAGGTTATGATCTCTCCCTTTCTTTGTCTCTTCAGAGTAGTTGATTTACAAATGAAAATGCTGTAGGTTCAAATAGAATTAAACATTGGAATGAAGACAATCAATTTACCCAGTGTTCTCCATATATAGCAAAAATGTAATCCTCTCTTTATTTTTCAATAGCAGCAGGGAAAGTTATGAAATTTAATCATTTAGGCCACGAGGACTTTTTTGTATCTTTCAAATTGCACATTCATGAAAATGGTTTTAAAAATTTATCCCACAGTATAGAAAGGGATTTTTTTTAAGTATTAAAAATCTTCTAGATGCAATACATGTGTGTGTTTATGCTCATTCTATTTTCTTCTGTAGTTTAAACGATTTTGTTTGTTTGCTTTAAAAAAAAGAAGAAATGATACCGTAAGCATAATAGCAATAAAGGAAGCTAGGAAGGGTTTTAAAAAAGAGAGAAAATATTCAAAGTGAGGGAACTTATGGTTCTGCAATATTTGGAAAGCTGGTTAATTGAAATTAGTGGGTTGCTTTGGATGATTGCTCCAGACTAAACATAATTCATCAAAAATAATCTTTTAGCATCATAAAGATTCATGGACTCATTTCATTAGATGCTTAGTAACTTTGGTTTTAACCTTTGGTTAAAAGTTCACAGGTGGCCAATGCTCATGGTTATGGAACGGAATCAAATGCAATATAGGTAGTACTCAATCTATGACCTCAATTGAGCCTTAAATTTATGTTGCTAAGTGATAGATTAGTTAAGTGTGTCTTGCCCCATTTTATGACTTTTCTTGCCACATTTGTTAAATGAATCACTGCAGTTGTTAAATTAGTAACATGGATGTTAAGTGAATATGATTTCCCCATTGATTCTTCTTCTCAGAAAGTTGCAAAAGGTGATCCCTTGATCCCAGGACACTGCAACCGTCATAAATGTGAATCAGTTGTCAAGCATCCAAATGTGACCATTTGGGAATGCTGCAACTGCCATAAGTGGGAAAAATGGCCATAAGTAACTTTTTTTTCAATACTTTGAATGGTCACTAAGCAAACTGCTGTAGGTTGAGGACTGCCTGTAATGTGTTATTGCCATGGCCCTTTACAGTTAGTAGTAAGATAAATAGGGTGACTTGAAAAGCAAAATAAGTACGTATAATTTGATATCAATATTCCCCATCCCCTCTGCACATAAAAGATTCAGAATTTGAAAAAATGCAAAGTAAAAAAAAAAAAACCTACTCTTGTGCCGTGCATGTGGAGGAAGGGGGGGGGGAGAGAGTAAGACTACTTAGTCACTGTACATGTCTTCTAAAATGAGATGCTGATTGGCAGAGAGAGACTGGTGGGCGGGCACCTTGGGCTGATATGAACTTGGATCACAAGTGACAAAGGTTAGTGTGGAGACTGCTAAGCTGCAGACAACTGCAATGGAGACTCTTAGGGGAAGCCAGCCATTGGGCTTCCTCTGCCTTGCCTTGCTGTTGGGGGGGCTGACTCCCCCTAGTGTTGCTCAGTACCAATGGTGGCCCTTTGCAAATCCGAAGGCTACGACCACACCTGCTGTGATTACCCAAGGTAAGTGAAAAGGCTATGGCTATTCTTGTTTCTTTTCCCTGCCCATTTCTCATTTTCTTTTTGTTTAGGAAAGAGCTGGAAAACCATATAAAATCCAGAAATGCCCATTCAAAAGGGTACACTGTTTGGACTATTGAATGTCTTGAAATATAATGTGGGTTAGGGGCCATGGGTGTAATACTGAGCTGAGCAACAGTGTGTCTAATACAACTTTCCCCAAATTGTACTTGAACTGCAATTTGCAGAAATTCCCAGTCTGTGTGACTTCATTTGAAAAACGGATTGAGATAGCTTTGGCAATTAGGCTACCTGAGATCAGCGTGGCTGTCTTTTTCCCACATTTCCCGGGGCTTCAGTCTCGTGAGGCTCATTTGCAGAATTTGGATTTTGCTGGATAAGAGGAGATGGGGTAATATATAAGGTTTTGTGCATGAGGAAAGTTGCATCAGCTAAATTGCCAGAAGAAAACGGGAGGCTTTGTAACAATCATAATGTTGATTAACAAGACAGGTTCAAATTCTTGAGTGTCTTTAAACAATTTTCTCTTCAGTTTACTTTTCTCACAGAGTTATTACAATTCTGGTTTTGAGCTCTAAGAAGGAAATATGAAATTCTTTTATAATCTGTGTAATTAATATTGTGTCTTCTCTATTGTTCTTCTCTCTTCCATTTTTGGAAAATCAATGTCAGGAAACAGAGCAATTGCATTTATGTTTTGTGTATAAATGTGTAGTTTCCAATCTCCTTTTCCTTTGCTTTCTCAGAGACAAGTTTCTCAGAAAAGAAGTTTTCTGTCCCTACGGTCCTGAGTAGTTCCAGTCCTCATAGCACACCAGATACAATTGTACAGGAAGCTAGTACTACTGAACAAATCCTGGATTTGGTGAGCATTTATCATGTGTGGTATGGGTCAGATGATAATTGATTATTGATTTATTGTGTGGCAACTAAGATGAATAATAACATTGCAATGATAGGGCAGCCAGAGATACCAACTTGTTCTCCAGAATTAAACCTGTGCTTCCTTTCAAAAGCATGTTGCACAAAACTGCACATTTGATTAATTTGATTCAAAAGCAACCTAGGAAATATAACTTTGCATTGACCTTTATTTTTAAATACTAGGAAATAATATGCTTATGACAGCTCTAAGTGCATCTTTATGTGTATGCTGATGGCGAATAGAATTCATAAATCACTTGAGGAATGGGCAAAAAATATATGTCTGGCAGTGTGTGTGTGAGAGGGGGGGGGAGTTAAGCAGAAGACATATTGACTGAGCTTTTATAAGTCTTTTGCTTGCTAATAAAAGTTTTGAAAATATAGTGATTATTCATATATTCATTATGCAAAGTTACATGTCATTATGTGACATGATATTAAAAAGAGCAGAAGCAGGGATGCAAAACACACCCTTCTATAATAATTATTCTGAAAGAACAGTTATTTCCTCATTCCATGTAATTATTAAAGTGAGGCTGCCTTAATATTCAAGCAGTTCAGAACCATCACACTATACTCTAAACTACACAAAATGGTTTCTGCTATGTGCTTTTCATGTTTTGGTGATGGGTGAATCGTCTGATACCGCTGAACAAAAGTTCCCAGCTTCTCTAATCATGGCACAAGAGCCATATTTCAAAGGCACACCTGGGCGGCTAAAATTTTCCCAACCTTGAGCGTCTTTCGTGGCCTGGGTTTGTTTTGGCTTTTTTCTGCAGAGGACAAGTGGGAGGCTGAACTTCGCAGAGCTATCTCATCTTCTGTAACGGTCCCAATGCATGGGAAAGTCTCAGAAATCTAGTTTCAGTGTCCCTAAACAATGACACTCCAGCCCCTCCTATTGAGTAGTATAACTATCTAGAGTTTTAGCAGCATTCTTTTTTTTTAACTCTGTTAAAAAAACACTTAACATATTTTGTTACCCGAGACACAATAAAATGGTGGGAATAAAATTTATTCCCAACCCACATACAGAACCTGTATGCAATAATAAGTCAAATCTATTACTCATTCATCTGAAGAACAATTTAGCTGGGATGAACAAATTGCACAATGCCCAATTCATCCAGTATCTCATGCCAGCCTTCTTGCCCTTTCTTAACATCTGATGGTTGAGGAGGTGAGTTCACTCTAATGATAGAAGCAGATGAGCATCAATTGCATCTGCTATCTTCTACATGGAAAAACATGCAGCCTGTCACTGAACTAACAGTTAGAAGGAATCTTAGAGGTCTTCTAGTCTAACCCTCTGCACAAACAAAGTGCTATTTTCCCTTACCTATACTACTTTTAGCAATCGTGGATGAACGTATAAGTATGTGCCAGCTTATGGCACATAAATAAAATAAAGTAACAAAGCTTGGCTGTACTTCAATAATCTAGTATTTACAATCATAATAGTTAGAGATTGGATAGATGATGATAAATCATATATACCTTTTCTTTCTTCATTTTTATGTATTTATATCCCACCTTTATTATTTTTACAAATAACTCAAGGCAGGAAACATATCCAACACACTTTCTTCCTCCCATTTTTCTAACAACAACAACCCTGTGAGGTAGTTTGGGCTGAGATAGAATAGCCAAAAGTCATGCACACAGGTTTCAAGTCTAAGACAGGCTAGAACAGGTAATCCTTGAATTATGACCACAATTGAGGCCAAAATTTCTGTTTCTAAGTGAAACATTTGTTAAGTGAAATTTGCCCTATTTTGCAACCTTTCTTGTCATAGTTGTTAAGTGAAAGATTGCAGTTGTTAAATTAGTGACATGATTGTTAAATAAATCTGGCTTCCCCATTGACTTTGCTTGTTAGAAGGTCACAAAAGGTGATCACATGGTCCCGGGACACTGCAACCATCATAAATATGAACTTGTTGTCAGGCATCTGAATTTTGATCAGGTGACCATGCTGCAATGGTTGTAAGTGTGAAAAATGATCATAAATCACTTTTTCAGTGCCATTACAAGTTTAAACTCCGAATTCCTAAGGGTAACACTGCTGTAGAAAGATTGCCCAACATCCTATATTGTGGGATGTTGTGGAGTGAAAACAATGAGTGATTCCTGGTTACTTCATGGACAGTAAAGTTTTCTTGGCACTATTATATGGAAATAGATTGCCATTTCCCTCTTCTGGGATATATATTTTGAAATATCCGACTCACTTTAAAGCTAAGAAGGCTCAAGGCTTTCCTTGTCTAAGGGAGGATTAGAACCTGGTTATTCCAACTCCCAATCCTGGTCCTCAACATTATATCACATTGGCTGCTTAATCAATTACCATAGTGTCAGTAAATGTAAGATGACGCTCCCATATTTCTATATGGATTTTATGAAATTTTAACATGCTGGCTGGGAAACTGGGAGTTGAAGTACGCAGGTCTTCAAGTTGTCAAGATTGTACACTTCTGGTTTTTTGCTTCTCATTCTCTTTCTCTTCTGACACAGAGCAAATAGGGATGGGCTTCTGGGAGCCATCTTGAGTTTTTCTTACTCAGTGGCCTTAAATATAAAAGTAGTAGTAGTAGTAGTAGTAGTAGTAGTAGTAGTAGTAGTAGTAGTAGTAGTAGTAGTAGTAGTAGTAGTAGTAGTAGTAGTAATAGTAGCAGCAGCAGCAGCAAATTATTTGGAGGAAGCAACCATTCAACTATTTTTTTAAATTACAGACAGCATAAATAATACTTTCGTACTTAGTAGCAGCTGCCTCATAGCTTTCTACATTTTTCCCCTGAATCCCACATGAAAACATGAGACTCAGCCACTGCTAATTTGAACGTCTCCAGATGCAGAGATGGAGGCCAAAGTCCCAAGGCCAGCTCTTTCACACCACGTGACAATCTCTGGCTCCTTCTCACTGTCTCTGCACAAGTTCTCATTGACATTTTTCTTGAGCCTTATCAACACTCAGGGTCTTGTCAGACTCAACAAAGCCTTGAGTGCTGTGGCAGAATGACCTGAATTAGTGGATAAAATCCTCCCTGTCTCATCTCTCCTCTCTACAAGGATCAAGGATAAAAAAACAAAATATATCAGAAATTCCTATTCTGCAATGTAACTCAATAGATGGCAATGCGCCTTCCAGTTGAACTTACGATATGGTTGTTATAAAGATAAAATTGTAAGGGACATACTATCTTGCACTTTTGTAAGAGGCTAGATATAAAGCAATAAACAAATATTCAGAATCAGAAATGAATGCAAGTTTTCTCTTTTTTCCTCCTACCAGACAAGTTCATCTGGTATAACAAAGGAAGATGCTTTTGATAATAGCCTTTCTGGTTCAGCCTTCTTTGAGGGCAGCGCTATGGAAGAAGACTCTGAATTCATAATTGTCCAGGTAACAATCCATAGAAAGTTTTCTCAAATGCCTGGTAGATGCCTCCAATTCTTTGGGTTGGGTTCTAGATTTCTTCATCAGCAATGGCCAATTGAACCAATCACAGCAGTTACTGTCTTTTTGTTCCTCAATCTAGTACCCTTTTTAAGTGTGAACACTGGAGTTTCTAAAAAAAAAAAAAAAAACATCTTAGTCTGCATGTCTAAAAAAAGTTCTGGTTTTGCCTGCCCGGTGTATTTAGAAGGCTGATTTCTTAATATTGGTATCTAAATATGTGCAAAAGTATCAAAAAATTAAACCATTAGCTGAAGTTCTGAAACGAAATATATATTTCTTTCCACATCATTAAGAACTTGCACTTTATTTAGACTATTCCTAGTCTAAATAAGATAGAAGCGATTTAATCTCTAATGAGTTAGATCTCCTAACTATTGCCATCTTGTATCTCAGGGAGGTTCAAAAATCTTGACAACTTCAGATTACCAATCCATGATCACTGGGGACACTAAAATGACGCAGGTATGTTGGAATTGACCCATGTCATCTTGTCACTGCCATTCTGAAAGAAAGGAGCAAGAAGAAAATATCTAAATAAGAAAAAAATAAGAAAAATTAAGAAAATGGCTTTTTTTAAAAAAATTTAATGGGACTTCTTTCTCAATAAACATATATAGTATTCCAAAACAGTGAAAATTTAATTTTAAAAAATTGCAGCCACTGGTATTTCCTCTTCTTTTTAAAAAAAATGCTAGGATTTGGGTTGGATAGGAAATTTTAGGCGAGAAACGAAAAGACTAGATATAACTGACAGTTTAAAAATTAATTATTGCCCTGATTTTTTTTTTATCCTAACTAGACCACATCAGAAGTCCTCATGACTTCGGTTCAGAAATCCAATATCACAGGGGATTCTATGGCAAGACCAGTAAGTTAAAATTATTATCAAATGTGTATTACATAACTCTTATATTTTGAAAATCTCATCGTTATCTGTAGATGGAAAGTATTCTAGCAGATGAACCAATTAAATTTTCTATCATCCCTTAATCGTCTCCTTCATCATAACTCCATGAGTTTGAAGGTGCTGCAAGTTGAAATCAACAATATTTAGTGAATTTCAGGTTCTCAATTTCAGTTTTAAGGTTTTCAAGACCAGTAAGTTGAAAAAATAGGAATAAATAGACATCAAGGAATATTACTGTTGATTCTAGTAACCTGCATTTCGACAACCTACAGTTTTGAAACTTTATCAAAGATTCATCAATTCAATCAAGATCAGTGTATGCTACTTTGTTTTTCTAGGAAGGGCTAAGACAGCATCCCAACTTAATTCATAGTTCCTTCCACTTAAGAAATTACTGAATGTGAGGGATCCGTTCAGAGATGGGTTGCTCCCAGTTCGGCCTAAATAAAGCAGTGGCGGGAGGCTCCATCCACCCACCCGGATGCTTCTGCTCATGCATAGAAGCGTCGCGCAAGCAGAAGCGCGCCCAAACCGGTAGTAAAAAAAAAGGCAAACCACCACTAGATCAGTTAAATGACTCCATGGAGGCAGACAGAAGGGAAGCAAAGGGCAACCTGTGCATTGTAATAAAAACATTCTTGCATGCAATTTTGCAACTCAAATATAAGAGTAGAACTTGTCCTCTAATGTTACAATACATGTTTAATTGTTTTGATGTCATTACCTCTACCTGTCAATATTTACACAAGGTTCTTCCTTACATAATTAGGAACTGTGTTTTCCATTTGACCAACATAATTCTTTAAGTATTTAAAGAAATACTTCCATGAAGTCAATATTCCTCATCTCCCTTCTTACTTTTTAAAGAGATGTTTTATCATTAACTGTTTTTCTCTCTTCCCTAGAGTAACTATACTTCGCAGTGTGTCTGTCCAGCAATACCTGGTCCACCTGGTCCAAAGGTGTGCATGTTATATTTATTTATTTTTATGTTATATATTTTTTTTCCTTAGTGAAAACGACAAATTTAGGTACATTTGCAATTTAGCTGGCATTAAGTCCATATTTTGAAGTTCCTGTCTTGAGAAAGCTGCCCAAGACAAGAAAATGTCTGCTATTTTTCCCCAAATGTAAACTAAATCACAGCTACTAAGCTACTTGTGTCATTTACTGCTGTAAATTACCCTGTCAAACCACCCCAAAAATCAATGGTATTGTGCCTTAAAAGATGCTTGTTAGTCAAGAATTGAGCTATTAGTTTCTCCTTGTGATGAGATGAGTTGAAGTTATTAAGTTAGATTTATTGTTGTGGATTTGTTAAAGTTAATGGCACAAAACATCTGCCAAGGATGCAGTGGGAGTGTGGGTTGCTAAAAGACAACTTAAATAGAAACCTTGAGGATGCTGGTTTCCCTATTCTGACATCCTTCAGACACAACTAGAATTATCTACCTTCCAAACACATCCGGAATGTGCCACTTTCAAGCAGGATAGATTTGATTATGGTTTACACTGCTGTTTCTCAATCTTCTAAGATGCCTGGACTTCAATTCCCAGAGTTCCCCTGCCACTATGTTGTCAGAATGTGCACTGTTCTTCTTATCTCAAGTTCTTTTTTTAACAACAGGGAGAAAAAGGTGACCAGGGTCCCCCAGGACAAACTGGAAAAATTGGGCCAACTGGTAAACCTGGCTATCCTGGCGTCGCAGGACTTCAGGGAGTACCAGGGCCACCTGGGCCACCTGGGCCACCAGGTTCAACTCTTCCTAAACCCCTAGACGTCACTGATACCAAGGATGGAGAAGACAAGGTGAGATTTGTTGATAGACTGCGGCAATATCAATGGTTTTATAATAATATAAAAATACTATGTTCACCAAGCAAAGATACTATATCCACCTTTCCTTGTTATCCAAAATTCACATAATGCTTCAATATCATTCAAAATGTGATCTGTTTTTATTTGCTTGCTTGCTTGTCTTTTGGCTAATCTTGGAAACCTGGTGTTGTTTTAGTTAATTGGTGATGGTAAATCCATTTGTTGCCTCCAGTGCATTGCATAGTTGGAAGAGGCATAGGGATTAAAAATTTGTTTACTGGGGACTAGAATCTAAAGAACAAAAATGGTCCATCTTCCAATCACAATTCAGTGCTCTTCAAAAAGCCTAAAATGAGGAAAGGGGGAATAGATTATTTCTCAACCACTATAGTGAAGTCAAAGCTTCGTTGAGCCACAACAATATGGATGTTAAGGCAGAAAGAGGAGACACAATTCCAAGCCAAAAGAAGTTGTGTGCTGCCTCCCCCTCCATACTAAGTATCCTTTATTACTCTGGACTTCCTTATCAGCCTATATATTATTGGGCTGTACAACTTGTGAACAATACAATATTGTGGCCCTGTATATGGGCTAAGCATGAGACCAGGAAACACACTCAGTTTTGCAGTCCTAGGCAAGAAACATACACCAACATTATGTCCTTTTCAATTTTACTGCCAAGACAATGATGTTAGTTCAACATTTTTTTTATATAATAATTAAATTAAAATGATAAAAACCAACATGAACTTTTTAAAAAAGAATAAAAAATAAAAAGTGCAGAAAAGAGAGAGAGAAATTCCCCCCTTGATCGCAACAAGGATAGCCAATGATAGTAACTTATTATTTTTTAAAAAAAAATCAACAAGTAAATTTATAAATGATAGATTGGAAAAAGATACTATAGTGTATATATAAATAAAACTGGCTGATATCTTAATGAGTTTGAATAGCATCTAATTTAGCACTGTGTGGCTTGGTTCACACATATACTTTTTATGAGAACAGGTTCAACAGATAAGCAACATCCCTCACGACTGTTGTATCTCTTGAATCTATTAACTTTTGGGTATCACTGAAGTTTTTAGCAATAGCAACAGCAGTTAGACTTATATACCGCTTCACAAGACTTCCAGCCCTCTCTAAGCGGTTTACAGAGAGTCAGCATATCGCCCCCACAGTCTGGGTCCTCGTTTCACCCACCTCGGAAGGATGGAAGGCTGAGTCAACCTTGAGCCGGTGAGATTTGAACCGCTGAACTGCAGATACTGCACCCTAACCACTGCGCCACCTCGGCTCTTATTTTGACAAGACTGTATTGCTGGAGATACCGATGATGAGTTTTCGACATGCTAAATTAGCCTTTCCCACCCTCTAACTGTTTCTCTGTCATCTTCCTGTTTTCTAGAGAGTCTGTTATGTGGAAGGGCCTCCTGGTCCACCAGGTATACCTGGTCATCCAGGCCATCCAGGACCCCAAGGATACCCAGGACCTGAAGGCCCCCAAGGTCCCCCTGGCCTCCCAGGACATGAAGGCCAGCAGGGTGCTCCGGGGCTTCCTGGGGCCCCCGGCCAGCCTGGTGCTCCAGGAGCCACAGGACCCTCAGGGATTCCAGGGCCAGTGGGGCCAGAGGGCCCTCCAGGAGTCACTGGCCCTGAAGGTCATGCAGGCATTCCAGGCCAGATTGGGTCACCAGGATTACCAGGCTTCCCTGGACCAGAAGGTCCTCCAGGAGCAAGTGGATCTCCCGGAAAGAATGGATCAAAGGTAACCATTGCCTTTACTATGAGAATCTGGAGGATATGTGGGGTGGAGGGATGAGTTGAGAAAAAATAAAATAAAATTATTGATCATCAAGATGTAATCATGAAAGAAACAAAGGGCTCTGAGCTGATTGTTACTTCCTGAGATAGGTTTGCATGTTTGTTTTTGACTTACTATGCTAATCTGTGGGTATTAAATCCTTTCAGGGAGAGAAAGGAGAGAAAGGAGACTGTGGTGAACTTGGGTTGCCAGGCAAACCAGGACAAACTGGAGAAAAAGGAGACCGTGGTGAACTTGGGTTGCCAGGCAAACCAGGACAAACTGGAGAAAAGGGAGCTCAGGGTCCACCTGGGCTAGCAGGTCCTCCTGGCTTACCTGGTGGTAATCAGGTGAGTAGAAGCAACTCAACCTCCAGCTAGCACACAACATCCCATATGTTCTCCATGTAAGGTGTTTCTCTTGTCACAGGCACTGTGAACTGGCATCCATAAGCATTCCTTATTCCATTTTTTATACACCTAAAATTATACAAACACCTTATTTATTTTGGAGACAGAGTGGGGTGCTCACAACTTGTAAACCACTTGTTTGTGATCCCCTTATTTGCAATCCATAAAGCCCCACTCCCTGGAATAGGAAGGGCATAAATGATCAAACTTTTTGGGAGGGGGATTTTATTGGGGGAAGGTTAAAGGGGCAAATTAATCACCTTAAGTGTTGGACTTTAAAAGACTGAAAATCCAAAGAATCATGGTGATTTTCCCACGGGAAGGAAGTTTAAGAGGCCAAATGGATTATTGGTCCTCCTTTCCCAAAGGCATACTAACACAAAAAACTTTCCAGCTGTGACCATTTTAATGATATCCTAGTGTTCCTACAATATTCAGCAGGACAGAATAACATAGAATTAAAAGAATTTTATACCTTTATTGTAGGTTAAAGGAAAGGCCCAAAAAAGTCAAATGGTTTTTTGAGGAGGGTGGGTTGGTTTACACCAATTCAAGATTCAAAATTATGTTTTGCTATTTGTCTCCCACTGTTCACTCCTTTAATGAATGCCAAAAGAGAAAAAGCATTGTATTCCTGGATGGCGGAGGGTAGTGGTGGGGGTTATAAGCAAAGACTTCTTTTTGATTACATGAATATAGTCAGGATAATTCTTCATTCTGTGATCTGGTTTATTTCTTTTGTCTCCAGCCATAAACACAGCATTCTAACAAGAGTGCGCATAAGAAATGTCAAAGGTTTTGTTACCTGCACACCAGTGACGTGCAGTCAGGGGAGGCAGGGGAGGCAGGGCCTCACCACTGTCATCATAAAAAGAAAAAAAAATTAAAAGGAAAAAGGCTGAGGTAGTTGCTGCCAGTCACAGTGGATGACTCTGCTTAGTGCTTAACTGTTTAAAAAAGCTTCTTAAAAAAGTGCCCTCTACAGGAAGAAACGAGAGAACCACGTGCCTCATTTAGTCTATCTTTACGATCACTCGAGCAGAGTTAAACAAGGGTTAAAAGCCGGAAAATTCCTTACGTAGATGAGGCACATGAGTCTCTCACCTCCTCCTATAGAGGGCACTTTTTTAAGAGGCTTTTTTTAAACAGTTAAGCAGAGTCACCCATTGGAGACTCTGGCAGCAGCTAACCCAGCCTGACCTCAGCAGCTCTTGCCTTTTTCTTTTTACATTTTTACATTTTCATCATGGCAGACAAGAGCAGAGTTGAAATCCTCTGTGAAACAGCTGGAAAAGGTATGTGGGTCGGAGGGAGGGGGAGGAATTCAAAATTGATGTAATTTGTAAGTAATTGTATTATTGTAAGTAATTGTGTGTGTGTGTGTGTTTTACCCGCCTCTACTGGCACGCAGGCTGGCACTTTTTTTTATGTCGGACACAGTGGCAGGGCATTTGGATGCCCCAACGCTGTGTCTGCCATAGAGTGGGACGACACTATGTCGGACACAGTGGCAGGGCTTTTGAACACCCCGGTGCTGTGTTCCCCCATAGAGGCGGGACACCTTTATGTCGGACACAGTGGCAGGGCGGCTTTTGCCTCTAGCGCCAGGGCTGCAGGGCAGAAGCCGCCCCGGCCACCCTGGCGCTAGAGGCAAAAGCCACCCTGCCACTGTGTCCGACATAGAGGCATCCCGCCTCTATGGCGGAGACAGTGCCGGGGCGTCCAAAAGCCCCGCCGCTGTGTCTGACATAGAGGCATCCCGCTTCTATGGCGGATACAGCACCGGGGTGTCCAAAAGCCCCGCTGCTGTGTCCGACATAGAGGCGTCCCGCCTCTATGGCGGACACAGCGCTGGGGCGTCCAAAAGCCCTGCCACTGTGTCCAACATAGGGCGGCTTTTGCCCACTTGCCTCAGCAGCCATAAACGCACGTCACTGCCAGAGATGTATCCAGCAACAGACATATTGTTGTGGTCCAGCATCCCCAATCAATAGACCCTCCTTTAGGAATTCTGAATCTCTTTTGCCCTGATAG